GCGATAATTTTTGGCGGGAAATTTTAATTTTTTAGATTTTAGACGCCGTAACATTTAAAAAATAGATTATCACAATTGTTCTGACTAGAGAGTAATGTCGAAGTAAGTTTTTCAAAATATTGTTTATATTGTCGTAAATCAATAACAGCTTCAAAAGAGTTATCAAGGTTCACTAATAACTGATTTGCAGATATGTCAATGTTTTTTGGGTTTACAGTAAATTGTACACTGCCATCTGTAAAATTTTATTTTGTTATTAACAAGACTCGTATTTTAAATAAAAAAATAAAACAAGTTATTTAGTAAAAATAATATAGAAACTAAGACTCAAATAACCTATAAAATTCAAATAATAAAGATAGGGCTAAGAGCCAAGCAAGGTCTTAATGCTGATGTTTTTTTTCGAATATTAAACTAATGTCAGCTCAAATCCAATCCATTCCAATCCAATTAATCCATTTTCATGGATTTAAAGTACGCATTAAAAATTTTAATCCATTCTCGTTTACTGGGTGTTACAATAAATTATTTGTTTTTTAATAATTTAGCATTAAGATCTTACTTGGCTTGTGGCCCTATCTTTATTATTTGAACAGTTATTTAGTATTTATTATTTTAAATAACTTAATATAGTAATAAATAAATATAGGCCTTAATAAATTAATATACATCTTATTTACCTTTAGAGGCACCGATTAAAAATCCTTGTTCGTCATAAATGAAATCATTTGCATCACAAAATAAAGTGCTTTCCTTCCTCTCCATTGTTTTCTGGATTTTCAAATGCATGCACTTCTTCAATGCGGAGTCTGATTCCGGCAGGTTAGCCCCGGTCTAGTGCGTAATCTCAACCGCTGTACCATACGCTGCACCGCCTCGAAAGATGATACAAAAGTTCTTGTACCTATGCACCAATTTCCAAGTGTTCCGTTGAAATAGAACGCGTGCACTATTTTGCAGTGACGTCAGTTCCGGCAAATAAAACGTAAATTGTTCTGCACCTTGCACTAGGTACAGAAAGTGCATGCACTGTCGTCAAAAGGAACATACCTATGGAGTGAAACGGAACACCTTCCATGCTCTCCATGCGCATCATGCGTGAAACGGAACGCACCCTGAGTATCAATCATGAATCTTTATCCCTAGGATGGAAAGTGAAAAGTGAAAATTTTAACCATTGAAGTTAATGGAGAAAATTTTCACTTTTCACTTTTTATCTTAGGGAAAAAGTTTCATGATTGATACCTTGATTCCGGCCTTACATATACTATAGCATTTTCCTAATTTTTCGTATGCGATACCAGAGAGGAACCTTTCTAGCGAAAATTCTGAAGGTTCCTCTCTGGCGATACTTTTCAAGAATAGAAACCCTGGAGACCGAATTTATCAGATGGAAGTAAAGCCATCGGCACACGATGCTTGTTTTCTTGTTGGATTGCTAGCTGGATTATAGCGTATTCGATTTACTGACTCGACCCGACTCTGAGTCAACAGTCTGTTCTTTTCAGCTGCATTTCTTACACAATTTAGCTCTTCTTTTGCAGTTAAACAGAACAGACTATTGACTCGGAGTCGGGTCGAGTCAGTAAATCGAATACGCTATTAGAATCTTGTCATCGTATTACCTGCAATCCTGACATTGTCAGTACTGCAGCCAATATGATAGCTAGATTCTAATTCAGCTAGAAATCCAGCAAGAAAACAAACATCGGCTGCGTTCAGCGTATTCAACAGTTGAGTGAGCGCTCACTACTATTGATGTCTTCTTCCAGAATGCTGATTGGATCTAAAAGAATACACCAATAACAGTTGAGTCTGCTGAACGCAGCCATCGTGTACTGCAGGCTTAGTGTAATTGGCCAATCACAGTAGAGACCGTAAGGCCAGTAGCGAATCCAATGTTACGATTTCCATACTGATTACGTCTTACGGCCTTACGTTTTTCTATGTGCTCCCGGCTTTAACAAGGGCCATGTGCGTATATACTGCCAGTAATGAAAATCTATAGTTTCCGCTACGTATACTATACTGTACTGACAACTGGAAGTAAAATACGAACACTTTCGATAATTTGAAACGCCATTCGATTGCTAGTTGACTAATTTTTGCGGGTTTTTTTATTTTGTTTGGATATTAATTATTTTGGGCAGAAAATCAAAAATATAATTTGGACAAGTACAACTGGTTGTAACCGCCATTTTGAACTTTTATCTCATGATTTCATGAAGTGCGTTCATCGACATCTAGAATGGTTAATAAGATCGTTCTTTCTCTGTTTACTGTTGTTTCTAACTACTGTTGGATTAACAACAACCAATCAGGCTTCAGTAAACAGAGAAAGAACGATCTTATATTCCTGCCTCTCACTCTAATCGTCTTTCTACCCCCGCCATTGCCATCAGCGGTCCATTCTAGATGTCGATGGGTGCGTTCCGAGTCACGCATGAAGGGCGTAGACTGCATAGAAAGTCGTTCCGAGTTAGCTATTGCGCGCTTCGAAAGCGCTTCGAGAGTACTTGAATTCCCCAGATTGTACTAACCGTACTGAATTCTTAGCACTCCTCCCAGCGCATTGACTGCTTCTCTTTCGACTTGAG